GAGTTGTCCGACACTCGTCCATCCACTGCTTTCAAACACGCATCACTGTGCTGCTGTTACGCTGCACACGAGCGGCTACTGCACGATAAGATAATCCAACTTAACGAAGGCCGATGATTCTCCCCCGTTTAAACTCCGTAAGTTTTTGATTTTCCTGGTGTTTTTGATTCAAAATAGAGAAATAGAAGAGGAGGTGGAAGAAGTAAAGGTAAAGTTATTGAGTTTGATGAATTTTCGAATTTTTGTAACTTACCTGTTAATTTGAATAATATTTTCACTATTAGGAAATTTTTTCTTGATTTTAAAAATAAAGTTCTTAAAAATTTCCTTATTAATTTTGGTTCTAAAATTAAATTTGATACTGAACTTGTTAAATTTATTGTTTTGGATTTGATTAAATTAAAAATTGGTGTTAGTAAAACTGATATGCTCTTTAATAAGGCTTCTAAAGTTGAAAAGGTTTTTTGACTATTAATTTTCATGATAAGGAATTTGAAATTGCTAAGTTACCACGGTCGCTAAAGACTATACGTCCCCAGTCGGCATCATTCCAGCCATATCTGTTCAAAACATTTATGCATACGAAATTTCAAAGCAGTCGAATGATTGCTTCTTGGTGCGTCGATTTTTGCGTTATAGAGTATATATATAATTTCTCTGATACTCTTGCAAAATTAAAAAATCTTGTAAAGTTGATGAAAGAGGCATATAAATTTTTCACGTGTGTTATGATGAAAGTTTTTTAAGTAAAGTTGATTTAAAACATTTATTATCTAGGAACACAACGACTATAACCAGAATCAATGGATATTTTTTTAAGCAACTGGTATTCCGGTTTTCGTAAAGAATTTTATGAAGCAAAAAATGAAAAATGGGAAAAAAATACTGGGTATTGAGTTCTCCTTTATGAAATTTATTTAATTAAAAAAAAGCACTTTTCATTTCGCTGCAGACGATAAAGTCGCCAATCCGAGGTCACCGGGAGCTAATAAATTTAACTAGAATTTTGTTATATTTTATTTTATTTAGGTTACGACTTTTATTTTAAAAAAGGTATAAATAAACCAAGAAAATAGCAGAATTTGCTTGTGCTGGAGTAATAATAAAATATATTTATGTGGCAGGTCTAACTTTCTAGCATATAATATGCAAACAGAAAATAATAATTACAAGTAAATAAAGGAAAATTACATTGAGACGAATATTGCTTTTACCTTTCTCTTTGTTTTGTCAGCTATAATTTGAGGAATATCTTCCCACATTTCCTTTGTGCTCCATAAACTATGAAGGAAAATTACTGGATTCAAACTTTCATCTGTCCCATCAGCTGATTCAAATGTATGATACGAAAAAGTTTGAGGAAAAAGCCTGAAAAAGCAGCGAAAAAAAAACATAAATAAATAAATAAAATAATTAAATTAACCCAAATGAATAAAATAAAGAAATTAACGCAAGGCATTAAAAAATAAACTGTTCTATGAAATGTGTTTTTGCATTAACGAAAACGTTTCATTGTTACTATCATGCGAAATGTAACTACAACAATAAATAAATAAATAAAACGTAATACGAATAAATCAAGTTTTGTTTAGTAAAGTGTTTACATTGATAATGAGACACATTCTGAAAAAAATTAACTCTGTTAAAAAGTACGTGATGGCAAAATATACACAATGTTAAAAATGATTCTTTAAATGCAATGTTGAAAATGATCTCAATGTTAAAAACTGACATTTTTTTTCGTTGCATTAGTTAAATTATAATCGAAGTTATTTAATATTTCTACCAGTGAATTATGTCATACAAAATGTTCATTTTGCTATATCTTAATAAAAAATTTTTCTTCAAAAAATTCATTAGAAAATTCCATTAATATAACATCTGGAAAAGGCACTATACATAACAATACTGGTAAAATTATGTAATAAATAATTATTTGCAGAATTTTACTGAGTTTGGCGCAAAACATTAAACTTGCCTCCAATCTAGATAATCCTAAAAAAAAGAAAATTTCGAGTTGTATTTAGGACTTATAATGTTGTTGTTGTTGTCGTGTCTATGCATGCAGTGCAAAGATTAGTGTCCTCCGAAAGTCTTGATAACAAGATTTGCAAGTTCTGGAGCCCGAAGGATTTACAGTGGGGAGGGTGAATAACAAATTTGAAATGTTTGGTGCAGTTATCACATGCTTATAAATATTTTTTAAATTACTCCACAGTAACATTAATTGTTCTTTTAATAATTTTGGGATGCCTTCAAGGAATTGTTATTAACTTTTTTTCACATAAACCTATATTTCATATTTCTCATCATGATCGAAATTCGAACGCCCTAAACCTCATTGAATAAAAATATATCCTCCCGACTTGGCTAAACTCAAATCGATATTCGTCAAAGTTTCTAGATTTTATTGGAATCAAGATTTATTTTTCAAGATTTTGTCTTTTACGATAGAAGAAAAAATTAATTGGATAATCATAGGAGAGTAAAAAAGTTGTAAACGAAACGAAATAAAACGAAAAAACCTTCCCTGGTTGGAAACATGCAGGAGTGAGTTTGATTACTTGTATCAAGATAATATAAATTTTTATTTATTTCGTTACTTGATAATTTAGGCAAAATATTTATGGGCTAAGATTTCATAACACTATTATGACAAATTTTATTTTTCAGATAGTCTCTCTCAACTGCAAACTAAACATATTTTGAAATCTATGTTTTCTTTAAAGGCTTGCAAGCAGCAAGCATTTTCATTTTGTATGCATTTCATGCATTCTTTAGAATTTTTTGTACTATTCCATAATTTATTTAGTGTAGTAAAACTGCACAAAACTTTCCCATGCGATATTTAAAACTATTTCAAATGTAAACTGATTTGGTTTTTAAACTTTGTTGTAAATGAAAATATTCGTAATTTATAATATTTTTTTATTTAATATGAAAAAAAATTTCCTTACTTTATAGGGTCTTCATTTTTCTGTCGGATTTTTTTTTCGAATTTACTACGTAAAAAGAGGCTTTTGTTTATTGCTGAAAATTAATATATATTCTATCTTCAAAATGCAAAATATTTTTGTTAGCAAGCAGTTTTTTTTTGCTTGATGATCTATTGGTGGTGAAATGTCTCCTCCGCTGAGTTTTCCTCGCAATGCATTTTATTTTCAAAAAAATATACACTGTGTTAACATATATTTATTAAATCTATTGCTGTAAGGTGTTTATCTGCATAAAATAATTATTAAAATTAGGAAAAAAGAATATTTTATTAGTTAAACAATATTAGATAAAAATATTCTTCCCACTGAGAGACACACTCTGAATACATCATAACTATTTTGACATGCAACGGAAAGTGAAATTAAAGAAATTGCAAAATGATTTTGATTTCAATTCAAGGCTGAAAATCTCACTGCTAAAATTGTGAAGGAAGTAGAAATGGTTCCGCCATCTCTTAGCGATATTCTGAAATAATCACGGGATTTAAAGAAACGTGTAAGTAACGAGGAATTCAATTTCAATGATGCAATTTTTCTCTTCGACGCATGAGATGTGAAGCAGACAGTACGGGCACAAAAACGCCGAACGTATGAGATGCAACACCGAAAGAGAAGGGGTTAGTTAATTTAGACAGCAATAAACTACACTGAAATATTTTGTCTAAAACTGTCTATGAATTCACTTAAAAGAAGAAAATAAAAACATAATGACAAAGAACTGCAGATTCAAAATTACTAAATTTTTACTTTTTTGATTTTATAAAAAATAGAACATCTGTACTCACTTATTCATTTTTGAGTGTGACTGCCACAGATTGAAAAACTGGTTTTCAAAAACCAAAACTAGGCTTCAAAAAGTTGTCATATAATATTATAGTTGTCTAATAAACACTTTGTACGAATTACTGATTATACAAATATCGTAAAAGATCTCAAGGGAAGATAACAAAAAATATACAGTTAAAATGTTTACTTTAGATTCTTATCAGCGGAATGGATTGCTTTAAAAAAAAAAATAGGGAAAAAAGAAAAGCACCTTTGCAATAAAATCCATTGAAGAAGTGATAAAACGCTAAAAAAAAGGAATAAAAAGTTCCCAAAGATGTTCCTTCTTCATCATGTTTATCATTTTATGCAATAAATACTGCCAGGTGCATGATATGAGATTTTCTGGATAAGACCTTTTTATTTATTTCCATTACCTAAAATTTTATTTTATTTTCTTACAATATTACATTCAAACATTTTATTTCGTTAAGCATGTTTTTTTTACACTATCAGCTTTTTTGTTTGTTTTTCTTCTTCTTAAAGCTACACTTTTGTGCAAAAATAAGGACGAATTGGAAAAACTAATATAATAACAAAACAGGCAGTTACAACGGATGGAAAGGTCACTTAGAAGACCAAACTCGATAGAGTAGAAAATTTGCATATATACACCATGACGTACCGGGGTGTGTGTCGTAAAGAAATAAAACGACCTGGTGGTGGAAGGTATTTATGTGAAAGGTATTGCAAGGTATACATTAGTTTAAACGAAGTGAATTTGTTGCCACGGTGTGATATGGCCAACAGACGACACAGAAGACGACATCTGGATGGGTTTACGCGAGGTCGAATCATTTGGAAGATGGTCGAAATGTGACCAGTGTGGCTGCGGATAGCTAACAGTATCGCTTGGAACACATTTCAGAGGACTAAAACAGCTGTCCGGAGATTTAGTGGAGGTCATCCTCACACCATCATGACAACGGACAACCAGTTTATAGTTCTCACTGGCTGGAAGGAACAGACTGCTGAAATAAAGAGAAATCACACACAGAAAAGTATTGGACGACCTATATCGCGTTTTACCGTGGCCAGGAAGACTGAGAGCAAGGGTGGTCTATTTACACGATGGCCAGCACGGTGTGTTCCCATGAAGCCAGTTCACCTGAAATGCCGTTTAATGTGATGTCGGTAACACAAATTCCGGACAGATGCACAATGGTGTCGAGTGCTCTTTATGAATGCGAGCAGATTTAGTCTGACTACTGATTCTGAACGCATATACATTTGGAGAGGAACATGCAATCTCCCTTCTAACATCATCGAAAGAGACCGATTAGGAGGAGGAGGTGCAGATGGGGCGGTATCATGCTTGGCACCCGTACTTATCTAAATATCTTCCAAGGTGGTTTAGTCACTCAATTAGCTGTGTGATGCTATTACGTATTATCTAGCTTTTAAATTTCCTTGATTTCATGAATTTAATCAGTCCTAATCACTCTTTATATAGTAAATAATTTAATTAATTATTATTGAATTTCATAAAGAGCGAATGCAAATATAGTTCTCATTAAACGTACTTTACATTTCAATGCAAATGAATTACTAATTATTATTCAATGTCGCGACAAGCGAGCATCTAAATCTATTTTTAACTTCTCTTTCTTAAACCACATTGAACATTGGAATTTACGTTATTATGTTTACTTTAAATTCTAACGAACTTTTTGGTCTTAAATCTTCAGCCAAATTATTTAAATATTGATAAGATATCGTGTGATTGGCTGAATTCGCTCATCTTTTGACAGTGTTCTGTTGTTTCTAATGACACTTGGCAATCCAGCAAGCCTGCATACTGCAAGCGTACTTAAGGTAGAGGGTGCTTTTCTTGTTTTTAAGTGACGCCATCTATGACCAAGAATACAACTACAGCCACACACGCATCACGGCTCGTTTTAAAAGGCGGACATATTCATTCATCAACAGATCGTATTTTTGACCTGAACCAGAGTACGATCAATCTTTAATTCAGTATCTCCAGACGAATGATTTGTTATAAACTTTGTGACCCAACAGAATCGACTCGCAAAAATCACCGTTTAATGCACGGGGAGCAAAAATCGAACTCAACGATCTCTTGAACATGGGCCCAACACCCTACCAAACAAGCTATCCCGGCCTCGGCAGTGTCCTTTTTCGATAATGCGCCTATAATATAACGAGCCGTGGTGACTTACGGGACGAAGCGCTAGCCTCCCGATGGCATGTAAAGTCTCTTTACACGCATAGTATCCCCAAGAGATTTTGAGCGCGCTGATTGGCTTTTCGGCATTGCCTTCTGTTACGTATTCTGGTTGCTCCTCCCCAATAACATTTCTCTGTAGTTTGTTCCCAAAATGTAAATCAATCATAAATCAGTTCCAGTATATTTCTCATACTAATTTTAAGACAAATGTTAAAGTTTTGTTCAAAAAATCAAATAGCGTCATTAATTGTATTTTAATAATAACACATGTATTTAAATCTAATTTGCTTTAAATTTTATTCTAATATTTTCTTTATTTGTTTAAAATATTTTTTGTACGTTTCAGTATAATATTTTTTAATATTAATGTAATGAATTTTAGGTAAATGCAATGTAAATAATCATATTTTGGTAAAACATCAAATTAGTATAATAATAATTATTAAACATAAATTAAAGTTTCATTAGCTAGCTTTTATGTAATATATATATCAGGATTGATTAATATCCCTATGCACTTAGAAATTAAAATCTCTTACTTAAACTTATTAGTATGATTGCAGAACCACGCAGTTAAATTTGAATTTATTATATGAGATTTTAATAAAATGTATATAAATAAATTTTTAAAATTATGTTTAATTATTTGAAAAAGATTTTATCATATCTTAGAGGAAAATATTTTAAAATGTTAAAAAAAATGTAATTATAATTCAGCAAAAAAATTTTAGAATATTTATAATTAGTAAAATTTATTTTCTAGCAAGTATTATATAACAAGTTTATAAAGTACAATAATCTGATTTCCTTGTTGATTTTTTGTTCAACTTCACTTTTATAGATATTGTTGCTTGACAATCAGAACATTTTTTGAAGAACTTCCTTTACATTCCTCCTGCGGCACTTTCATAAACGCACTGTGGTGACAAATAAATAATTTCCTGCAATTAAATAACACAGGCCTACGATGAAAAAAATACAAGGCGTCTGATAGCTGAACTTAATGTATTTTTTGATGCTGAAATGGAAAATGATAATGAAAAATTTCTATCACGTCACGTTTTGTTGACCTAGAGGTCTTTGCCTTTCGAAAGAGGGATCTGAATTGTTTGGTTCCAGACTGGAAGAAAAAAACTTATTGGCCAAAGGAACATCTTTCCATTGGTACAGGAGTCGTGAAAAGGAATTTATAAAGTACTTTGATGAAGCGGAGAACTTGGTCTATTGCTCTGACGTTCCTGGATTGTTGAGCAAATTTAGTGTCATACGCGATAAAGGTGAGTGGAGGCTGTTTATAGATCCATCTAAACGAAGCCTCAAAGCTCTTCTTCATCAAGAAAGCCAGTATGCATCTGTACCACTTGAACACTCAGTATATTTAAAAGAATGCTGCGAAAACCTGGCTCTCGTCCTAGACAAAATAAAATATATCGATCACAGTTGGACCATTTGCGGAGAATTGAAAGTTACCTCCATGCATCTTGGTAAACAAACCTTTTTACAAAGTAACTATGTTTTATTTGAGAGAGGGACAGCAGTGACAAGACTCAACATTGGATAAAAAAAAAGAATGGCCGAAAAAACAAAATCTTGACCCAGGCACCAAGAACGTTATTCGAAACAGCTCAGTTGATCTGAAAAAAGTATTGTTACTTCTGCTACATATAAAATTATGTGCAATGAAGTAGTGTGTCAAGGCTGTTCCAAAAGATGGCAATTGTTTCAAATACCTGTGCAAAAAGTTTCCAGATTTATCCCAAGCTAAGTTGAAAGAAGGAATATTTTTGGTCCAGATATCCGCAAACTCATGAAGGATAAAGAATTTGAGACTAACATGACAGAAGCGGAAAAAGAAGCTTCGGTTGTTTTCAAAGATGTCCTCAGTAAATTTCTGGGTAATTACAAGGATCCTGATTATAAGGAAATTATAATGAAAATTCTGGACAAATTTAAAACGTTGGGTTGCTTCATAAGTGTAAAAATGCATTTCCTTTACTCACATGTGGACTTTTCCCCTGAAAATATAGGAGTAGTCAGCGAAGAACAAGGGGAAAGATTACATCAAGATGTCACGGATATAGAGCGTAAATATCAAGGAAGATGGGACAAGAACATGCTCGTTGACTACTGTTGGATGATAGCTCGGGATAGACATGGGATTAAGCATAAAAGAAGATCATAAAAAATATTTTTCAGAAGAAAACGAGTATGTTCTTAAATAGAAACTTTTCTCTTTCGCGTTTTGCTTGTTTTGTTTGCTTTGTTTTTTGTTTCAAACTTTCATGTACACGTACACAATATTTGCTATTCTTGGTCAATCGTCAATCTTACGTAAGTTATTTTAATAAAAACAAATTAAAATGGTATGTTGGTGATTTTCTTCTAGAAACTGATGCAAAAAGTTTGAACACAAGGAACTTATTGTTTTTCTCTCGACCAGAGGTGACTTGTGCTGTCTGGTAACAGTATTTTTTATTCATTTTAACCTAAAAAATAGGGACTGATAGTTCAAAAATCAAATTTTTTTCACAGGATAAAATTTTACATGGATTAAAATGAATGAAGAGAACAGTTACCGGCTAGTACATGCAAAATTGTTTGAGAGAATTCCTTTCTAAATAGGATTTTAGTAAAAACATTAATATTGATTTTACAAGAAATCCTGATGTGATTGGGAAAAATGAAGGTCTTTTTCGATATCAGCGCATCAAATAACATATAAATCAACAATAACTTCTCTCGTATTTTTCAAAAACTTCAATTTCGCAGGGCTGTGTAATTAAAAAATATTTACAATCCAATAGATATGTACTAGAATTAAAAGATGGAATTATTTGTAAATTTATTCTTTCATTACTCATGGTATTAATTTAATGGATAATTCATAATCATTAACTTTTATTTTGATGGGAATTATGCAATGAAAAATTATTAAAATAACTATCTTAAAAGACAATTGCTTGACTTCTTAGATGTCAATTAATAGTTTTTCGGTATTATAAAACATTCAACAAATTAAAAAAAAACATTCAAATTAAGTTATAAATAGTTAGGTATAATGCTGATCTTTTAGTTTTAATTTATAATAATTGATAGCGCCACTAATAAATCTTAAATTTAAAATTTTATAATTTAATTTTAGTAATCCACAATAAATAAATAAAATATTAATTTAATTCGATTAACATTAATTTAATTAAATAAATATCAAGTGAAAACTATTCAGTTTTCATTTTATAGTGAGTATGAGAATTAAGCAAGGCAATTAAACTCCGATTTCAATGTTATTCAATAAATCAGAGGGATATTAGCTTCATAAGAATTCAAAATTTTTCTTAAAATAATTAAACTAGTTACTTACCTACAAACAGATCTTTATCTATGAGGTTTGGAAGTTTTAGAATTCCAATTCGCATTGGTAAGTTCCCCAAATTCCATTACCCACTTGTTGCAATCGTTTAAATTTTGAACATTGCTTCTAAGGGTTATGGTATTTGGGGAAATATATTCTACTTCATTTTTAAATAAGGAAGGCAGTTTCTCTGTTGAAAAAACTGACATTTCAAGTTTGTTAGCAAAAACTGGAGTATAGAAATTGCTCTATGCTGAAAATAACAAGCACGGCAGAATGAAATAGTCACACGTCACAGATGGCGTTGTCGAGAAAGCCAATCAGCGCTCTCAAAATCTCTTGGGGATACATGTGTGTAAAGAGAGTTTACATGCCTCCCGATGAGATGGGTTCATTGTGTATCTCGCTAAAACTTCTGCTGTCAAGATAAGGGTAATTGCTTTAATATTCTCTTGGCATGATAAAGCTATTTTCTCTTGGCACTTACCTGATACAGAGGTTGCTATTTAGCCTGGTATGAAGAAGGATTTTTCCTCTCAGCAAGAGTGAGATTGAAGTCTTAGCTGTCAGAGGGAAATTTTTCTAAGAATGAAATAGGCGAAAGGGCTTAACCTTGACTAACCACCATTTCATGAATAGCTTTGCTTGTCTAGCGAATTGAGATGGATTTATGTAGTGTTTCTGCAATTTTAAATAAACTATAGAATTAAATAAAATTTTAATTAGCAGAACATTTTTTGGAAATATTTTACCTAAGCCGTTATTAACAATCACATTAAAGAAGTATTTGAAATCTTTAAGAATATTTTTAATTATAGCTCAACTCTAATTTTTCATTGAGTACATCAATTAAATTTAACGAAATCGATCATAATGTTATTATCATTATGATTAATAATTTTAAACTATATAATTTATCATCTGTATCAATGAGGTTTGAAAATGAGACAAATATAAGACTTTAACATAATATGGTAACTGCACCGAAAAAACGTAATTAGAAATTAGAATTTTTTCAGGATTTTATGTGATTATGATTGAAACTGTTTTTATGTACTGATATTTAAGCCGTGATACAGACTTGCGAAATAAAGAACTAAATTAAATTCATATGTCACGTTCAGTACAGAAATATTCAATAGTCTTCAGTATTTTCACTGCAATTTCATTTATTACTAGCCCGTTCTTCGCACGGGGAGAGTAAAGAAATAAATAAATAATCAATAAATCAGTATTGAGATCATGCTCAAAGCTAAAAATCATATACCGATTAAATCAAAGAACCAGGTAAGTGAAATTTTTAGGGGAATTGATGAGTCAGAGAAAATAAACGAAGTGGTTGTATCAATTTGGGTATGTTTAATGTTATAGAACTGTTTTTGACTTCACTCAAATCTTCACATAACTAATTACATCAGTATGCTTGCATGAGTTGAGTTTTACTTCAAATTAGGCACTGGTAAATAAATAAAATACAAAGAAATATTTGTTCCTGTTTATAATAAATTGGTAATAAAATAGTTCGGATGCAACTTTTTTTTAGTTCTGAAAATGTTATTTACCTGGTTCTTCAACTAATTTTTTCAATTAATACAGTTAAAATAATTAACATTTTTTTTATTTAATATTATTTGTTGACCTTTTTGATGTCTTTGCGTTATTGAAGTAAGCGAAACACGTTTTATGAAGTTTATCCCATTAGAACAAAGATAAATGTAGTTAGTATCAAGTAATTTTCTAAGGTATATATCCATTTCACGGATCGTAAAACGCTTACTTCCAAAGTATCAGTATGTACTACTAATTATTGGTGCTGTCTCAACAATCACCAAATATATCAATAAGATATTTGATACCTTTATTAGTATATTTGGAACATATTACATAAACCTTCAAAATTTAACTTTTGTAAAAAGTACATTAATCAGTAACAGCCAACTAAAGCCGAAATTTAAAGAAAAAAATCGAATTCTTATTAGAACTTGATAAGATTTTTGGTGCGTGGGCATTTCTCTATGTGACCTTTAATTCATTATTAAAATATTTATAAGTAGTAAATAAACAAAATTCCTTTTATTCTAATCCATTAAAATATTAATATACCATCTTTGTTACCACTGAAAATCATAATTTCTGAAATTACGAAAAACCCGTTGTAGAATTGTTATCAAAACTGCTCCAATTACCATAGTACCAGTAGGACATATTAACATCATAGTAGGACATAAGTAAGCATCATCTGTAAATGGCGATTTTCTACGGTTTTCCTAAACAAATTTCCTATTAACCTTTCTTTCCTTTAAATTCGCATTTTAGCACATAGCTTGTTTTGTTTTATTTCAATTAATTAATATTATCAGTAGTAATTGAGCATTAGTGTCAATAATAATATCGTGATTTTTTACAGCTCCCCAAAATGAATAGGTATATAGTCTCCATTCTTTTTTTTTAGTACGTAAATCTATTTTATATCAATTAACATATTACTAAAAAAAATATTACTAAAAAATATGACTAAAAAAATTAAGTATCATTGTCGCTAATGGTAGTATGATGATTTCTTATGGTTCTTCTAGATAAATATCTTTACTCCATTACTTTATATATAGTTAATTTATTTTATTTCAATATGCATATATTACCTTAATTAATTAATCATGACTGGTGTAATTAAGCCTCATTGGCGCTTATTTCTTATGTTTCTCCTAAACGAATTAGTATCACTTTCCCAATAATTTTTGCTTTTGATTACATAAATATTTTGTTTCTATTCAATTACCGTTGGTTTTAAATAAGTAATTTTTCAGAAACATGTTTAAAGGAATTAATATCAATAAAATAGAAACACGTATTAGCAGACAAAGTATAAATTTGATGACGTAGAACACGTGTGCCGCGTTGTAATGCTCATTGAATTCATCTAACATAGCGAATATAAAGTAATTAAACATTTCAATTCGCGCAATAAATGATTTTTTAATAGAGCTATAAGCTAGCAATTATCACTGACGTATCTTTAAAATATGTGAAAATTGAATCGATAATTTTAAAACAATGGCTAAAGCTTAACCAATCAGAAAATTCCATTTCGTTTTTTGCTCATCCTACCAGAACGATTTGTCGTAGAATGTTCTAATGTTGACAGTGACCTTCCTCGTGCTTGAAACTATCTGTATGCCAAATTTCATAGCATTTGGTCGGTTGGCTTAGGAGTCTATAAAGGACAGACAGGCAGACACACATTCATTTATATATATATAGATAGGCACTGGTAAATA